TTATCCGCTGCGGAAGACATGCTCTGCTTTGAGGCATGGCTCTGTCTTATCATCAAAGACATCACTTCCTTCTGAAGAGGCCACAAAGGTTAGCCAAATTACAGATCAAGGGCTAATGTTGGCGAGATTCATTCCAAACTCAAGAAACAGATTAACAGCCGTACCACAGGCAGTTCAGAGAAGCTGCAATAGGCTGAAGCATGACTGAAAAAAACTTGTCCATTTTGAATCACATTCCATCCACGGTAATTGCAGCAGCACATTATCCATCGGAGATGGGTCAGTAAGGCACGGCTGGGCCATCACTCCACTAATGAGTAATAGATTGGGCATGCAGTGGCTAATTAAGGCCAGTCTGATTTCTCGCAGACATTGACGGGGAGGCATAATTGGTGGAGGTCAGTCAATCTCCTGGATTTGGCTCCGGGCGCACCGAGTCTAGGTAAGCGCCGCACGTGGAAGCCTTGGAGGGGAAAACCTGTCTTTTGTGAGCCCTTAATTGAGACGCTAATAGATGGGAACATGCCTTTCCTGAGACGTGAGGAGAGAGAAAGAGAGAGATGATGGAGGAATGTGGAGCAGTGCTTAGTGTGAATACAAAACAGTGCCCCCTAGTGAATGCTTTGGCAACAAACTCTTTTTCTCTGCAAACAGAGTTTGAACATTACTATGCTCCATAAACTGAGATTCCAGAGAAATCAATCCCCTTAAAAAGTCCATTAGCGTTAGTGTGTCTGCTAGCCAAACCCGAGGCTTCCAAAACTGAGTCTGTCCTCATCAGAGAAGGAAAAAAATATGTGTTGTGTTTTAAGGACAGAATATTCATCAAGCTCCAGCAGTGAGCTGGAAATATGGAATTATTATCTCTGGTCTAAATCTACAGTGCATTTGATCTCAAACCAGTTTCTAGCCACCACCCTCTGTGTTCTCCTTACATGCAATAAGTGCCTCTGCATGCAAATCACAAGCAGTCGTAAAAAAGCTTGCTTATTGATCAGCTTCTGCCAGATCAATACGGACAAATCCCTTCCACTTTAACCTCCAACGGTCATGGTGTCCTCTCATATCAGAACGGCTCTCCTGGGGGCTTGAAATGCCTGCCTTATTCCTGCTTAAACAGGGGCTGCTGCTTCGCCTGGGTCAAGCCATGCTCTGATTGAGGACACTGGAGCAGGCCAGCGGGGAGTGAGCGCTACCTCCTCAGGGCCAGAGTGTGTGCTGATGTCAGCCGGAATGACACGGAGGTTTGGCGGTGCGCTGCAGCTTGTTTTGTGTGTGTGTGTGTGTGTGTGTGTGTGTGTGTGTGTGTGTGTGTGAGAGAGAGAGAGAGAGAGAGAGAGAGAGGACGAAAAGAATGAGGTCATCATGGAGAGCTGCAGCAGAGCAAGAACTAGAGGCATGTAGTGTGTAGTTAAAAGAAGCACTACTGCTGGAACATGAACAAAAATGGACAATCTGCTCTCAGACAAAGAAAAAAGCTTACATGGTCAATAATACCATATGAAATTTACAGTAAATTCATATATTAACAATTGATCTATTTAAAGAGGCTGTATCACAAGTCAGCGGCTACTGGACATTAATTATTTTGTTCCTAAATGTAGGACAAGTCTAGGTTATCACCTCAAGCTGATCTTTACCCTTTAAATCTTTTAAGGCCAAAGCAAAAATCAAACTATTTCTACAATTTTCTCTACTCTTCTCATTTAATAATATGATTTCTCAAAGCATTTATTTAATATGCAAAGAAGGTGATCTAACAAAATTAAAAAATCTATTGAAAAATGGATTTTAATTAGTTTGTTACAAACTACATTTTTACACATAAACACATTATTAGGAATATAAGTCACACATCTATCAAGTTTTATTATTAATCTCAGTAAACAAAACAATAATAAATGCTCACTAATCTGAACTGCACTCTAAATGAGCTTCTGCACTCACTCTGAAAAAATACCGTGCATCCAAGCAAACCTTGTGCATCTTTAATAAAGTGACTGAAAAAAAAACTTTAACTGTCAAAACCCTGGCAGGTTTGAACGAGTCAAAGAGACAATGTCCCTGAATGTATCACCAGTGAGTTGTTTTATAGAGTTAAGAGAAATAAAATAAAAGGCATTTTCCACCAGCTGCAACCATCTTTGGAGGAAACTGCGCAGTGCTGGTCATTTTTGGCCTGTGTTTTCTAATGGGATGAAACTGGATAAACAACGACCCAACACTCCATACAACATGTCATGCAGGTGATATAGATGCTGCTATAATGTGCTCTCTTCCTGCACAAACCCTACTCCAACTACAACTGTGTACATCCCGCAGTGCAATGGGCTCGACATAAAGACAAAAAGAAGAGCAACTAAAGAAGACAAGTGTCCTCCTCCTCCAAACCCCCCCAGGCAGGTTCTGGCCCCAAGTCTAACCCCCAACCTGACCCCAGGCTCTGGGTGACATTGACCTTCAAGCTGCCTCAGCCTCGCTCTGGAACCCCAACATGTCCACCATCTCAGTCCCGCCTCCGCCTTTGCCTGTCCCATGACAGCCTTCCCCCTCAGCCCCCCTTCCTCTCCTCTCATCCCTACATGCCCCCCCGTCCTCCTCCATTCATTATGGACCCAGCTGCTAGTCAGCCTCAGCTTTATTAACCCGTTGCCTTCTGACATCCATTTCATTGAGGCTGGGGGACGCTGGGGGACACAGGGGGGGTCAACAGCTGATCAGAACGCTGGTGAGGCGGCACTCTACAGATGACCTCCGACCCCCGGCAGCCTCTCCGATTGGGCAGCAGGCCAACGGAAGGCAGCGCAGCCTCCCATGTTGCCATGGCGACAGGCCGTGGTAAGGCACAGATGGCTCGGCAGGGGCTGGAGTGGGAGGAGAGAGAGAAAGAGAGTGCGGACAATGGAGGAAGGAGAGCGAGAGAGAAAGAGAGAATGAGGAGGACAAAGGCACTGCACGGACAGCAGAGGGCGCATGTCAGCCTGTTTGCGCGAGGGGGAGCGTGTTTGCAGTTCACCACGAGAGCAGACAACTGCTGTGCTTTGTGCAATAAGCAGCACAGTGAACGAGAGGCTTGAGAGCTGGGCAGCTGCTACAAAGTCATTTTACTCATGCGGTCCAGGCTTTACGGAGCAAGTGCTGTCCATCCTTAGGATGATTTCAAGTCCTGTGAAATGAATGCCGAGCTCATGGTTGACACACACTAAAGCCTCACAGGCTGCAAAAACGTACAACAAATCAATTTTAATCTGAAGGATCTGAAAATACATGTTGACTGTTTGCTGTCAAGCACCATCCCAAACTCCACATATGATTCTTTCCCAGAAAGCAGATCATGGGGGCTCTTTAAAGAGCTTTTTAATGAATGTATACTGTGTTGACAAGCATTGTTATAAAAATGCTAGAAAAAATCAATATTAATAAATGTAATTATGGCACTGCTAAGGATGAGAGGTGATCCCTCAAAACAGCAAAAAGAGGACTGCAGAGCTTGAGTTTAGCTGGCGGAAGATTTCAAAAGACAGTAGGCTCAAATCCGAGTGGAGTATGTTATTATGCAGCCATTAGGCCGGGCTCAGATGGGGCTATCGTCAGCTGGAGCCAGCCCGCCGTGAAGGAACAAATCGCACCCATATGCTTCCTCCCCCATCCCAGCTCCTTGGGAGTCTGCCCCCCCCCCTTCCCCATCCCTGGGGACAACCTCGGACCGCCGCAGCCCCGCCTGCAAGCATGCCACGTGTGTTTATGCAAAAATGTGATCCACGCTCTGCTCTGAAATCAGTGGCGATGTCTAAAAAGGAATGATCTGCCTAATAACCATGGAAATTAACTCTCCGATTGTGACGGATAAAGACTAAACTATCTGCTGTTTGTTCAATAAGCTCCTCCATGTGTGCATGAGAGTGTTCAAAGAGCCCTAGCGTTCCTCGAGAAGCGGTTGCTGAGATACCAGACGTGCTGTGCCACCAAAATAGGTGCACCGAATGCCTTGCAAACACAACGCTTGGGCGGCGGCCATCAGACAGCAAGAGAACACAAAGAGTGTGTGTATAGATGCGAACCCTGCCGTTTTGGGGATGAGTCTTTTGATGTCAGTGGAAGAAGCGGCGTGACCCCTTGGTGAAGGCAGCACAGCGGATCTCTGTCTGCTTCTTTAAGCTTTGCGATCTGGGGAGGATGCTAAGGCGACGAGACAGTCAAGGCTATCAAGGCCATCTCATCAATTGTTAAATGCCTTGTTTCACAGCAGCTCCAGTCTGCAGCGTGTTCAAATGACAACTTACAGGAAACCAAGTCTTTCTATGGTGCTCTAAGACTTCGCTCAAACAAAGGAAGGAGAAGGGGTAGAGTGAAGGGATGGAGAGAGTACAGAGAAAAACACAGAATGTGTAGTATATAAATTAAACATAGGGAAAGGAAAATGCTAGTGTTCAAGTAGAGACTGTGAAACTGCATAGGTATCATAAAGCCTCCTGAGCTCCGTCGTCGCTTCCTGCATCAGTGCCATTGCTCTATTGTTCATCTAGGCTCTGCCATGACTGGTAGGGTGGGGTTTGTTGTGCGCCTGTATGTGTTGTGTGCAGGTTTGCATTGCACTGCACCACAGAGAAGGAGAAACCTCCATTGCTGCTCACTAGAAGGTAACCTGAGCTGCACTGCCCTTTCTCATCCTTCTCAATTAGAGAGAAAAGCTTCAAAAGGTGGGATGTAGACTGGCTGTGATGAGCTGGATTTTAACCCTCTATATGGATTATCTCACTCTCTGAGGTCTCTAAGGTGTTGTTTCTGGAACCAGGACAATACAGAACAGATCCCAGATCAGTTCTAACATTTCTCTAGCATTTAAAAGAGTGTATTAAAAGCTAACTCAATATGATAATCAATATGAGCACTTTTCTTAACACTTTCCACCCAGAAGATTACAGGTAGGTCACTGTGAGAACATGACAAAGATAACTGCCAATGGTGCCGAAAGCAGCAGAGGAATGTCAGTGGAATACCTTTTGATATTCCTCCTTCGAAGCCAAAGCCTGGTTCAGCTGCTCTTGTGTGTAAGCATAGATGGCTGATCGATAAGTCGTTCCCACATCGTTACCCTGCCGCATTCCTGTCAACAAGAGAGCCACACACAGGTCAAAGTCAGAAATGTGTTTGTGTCCCAGCAACAAATCTCTTTTTTGGTGCAAAATTAGCCAATTTGCATCGCCATCTTTTAGCAACCCATCTCTCTGAGGAGACAAACTCCAAATCAGCCTGCCATCTACAGAACATCTTCGAGACAGCGTAATTTTAATCAAAGCTCTGTTCATCTTGATCCAGATGTAGGAGTTGACTCAGTAGCATTCTGGAAGTAATTGCTGGTTGTGGGGAAGCAGGGCAAGAGCTGCTCCTGGAAAGTGAATCGTGCTGATTCCGAGTCAACACATCATCACCGAGCGCCTGAGCCATCGAAGATGAGAAGCTTGGGGCTCTAGCCATGCAATCATGCTGGTTCCGCAACAGACAGGAGAACAGCAACATATCTATAGAGTCAAAAGTCACATTTTTGTGACCTCTAACAGAAACATGAGAATTTGTTTTTAATCAATTCAAGAACATTCAATTCTATTTTATTTGTCCATCTTTAACAACTGACACAAGACTATCACAGTGGAAGGAACATCTATGAGGCACATGACTGAGACTTGCTGAGAGCTACAAATCTAGACACTGACAAGATCAAGATAAACACATTAGCTTGGCAGCTCACGTCAGAAAGCTTCTACTTTCCTCCAGACCTTTAGGTATATGTGTTCCTAAAGACTGAAGAAGGTAACCTCACTCAACATGGCTAACAGTGAACGAAACCTACTAGAGACGAGGCCTGAAAGGCTCGTTCGTACAGTAAAGTAGTAGAACCACTCATAGAACTACTCATTTGCATAAAGCCATTCTTCTGAAGATGAGTCGTGTCTCTGCGTTTATAAGTCACATTTTGAAAATGGATTCTTTGGATTATTGTTTTGCATATTACACTTATGCAAAATAAACAGAATTTGGAAATGTGGCCTCGGCTTTTAGGAAGTGCTTTCTATATGTAGGATTAATATGATTAAATCTAGTACAACACCGAGTTGGGCTCAATATTTTTCAGCCTTGGTGATAAACTTCATGGTTTATCTTGACCTCTGCTTCATTCTCTCTGAAATAAGTGATTTTGCAATCAGAGAAAAACATTTGGACTAATAGTATTTATTAAATGCAAAGAGTTATGCTACCTTGTAAACAAACGATGTAAACCAATCATTGCCAGATTCTTTTTAAATTGAACATGTTTACTGTGAATAAACTAAACAAAAAAAACCCACCATTTAGAAGTAATTAAGGTCTGTTTTCTATCGAGGTCTGGTTTTCACTAAATGAACACAAAGAAGAATAGTAAACAATCACATTCTTTCGTACTGAAAAGGGACAATTTTCCCCAAGTGCTCAATCTTCATCCTCCGCGTCTCTCTTTCAGTAGCTCTGTGGTTTCAGCACATCCAGAGCAGCTCAACATGGCAGACAAAGGAGGGTATTAGGAATCCTTCTTATATTCCTGCCTGAACAGGGAGGAGAACCCTGGTCTTTCATTTGCAGGGTGGAGATATTATCCACTGTGCTGTCCAACCACTTTCTGATTTCTCCATTTGCTAATTTGTACAACAGACCGGATGCCTAGTTTTGTGTCCTATCCTGTCCATTATCCTGTCTTAAAATAACAAGAGCTCTGAGACTAACTGAAGGTTTGGCAAACATTTTCCAAGACTATTCATAATGCAGTGATGTGACGTGGTCATATACGAGCTTACCTTGGGTGGGATTGTGGCTTTCCCAGAACACCTTGAGCAGATGGGCATAGCTGATCTTGCCTGGCTCAAACACCACTCGCACCACTTCAGCATGGCCCGTTTTACCTGTGGGGGAGATCAGGAAAATTACTGCACTTACTGACCGTCCAGAGTCAAACAGTACAGGTCAGGCTTTGTGGAGAGGTTCCATTTTAACGACAGGATCCGAGCAGCGCTGCTTAAACAATAATTTCACCCACAACATGAGAAACGCTCAGTCTGATCTCAGATCACTGTGAAAGCACAACATCCTCCAACACCTGAGGTCAGAGTACACGGGCAGGGGCTGAACAGAATAGCACTGCTGTCTCATCCTGATGAGGTCATCGGGGCAGAATAACCTTGCCTTGACATCCGCTAGCCCCCCCACCCCCATCCCTCTGGTAGAGTGAGAACATCATATTGATTAACTTTCCATGCCTTCTGACCTTTTCACCAGGGGCACAAGGCTAGTCAATTTTCGCTGTGCTGAAAATGGCTCCCGAATGTGTTTCAGCTGGTCCTCGTAGTTTCAGCACACGACTGCGGAAATAACTGCCGTCCTCCTCGACATGACATGACAGATGGAAATGCTGCTCTGAGAACTACAGCACTTTCCTACAGGCAATAGGGGAAGAGGGTTCAGACAGGAAGTAATTAGGTCAGAATTACTCATTACAAGTTAACAAGCAGCAGTGATACACGTCTCCTCGTCTCGATGCATGAACGGCGATGCATTAGACTGTAATTTTTGGTTAGCGAGAGGGACTGAATGCAGGAGGCATCAAGCAAATAAAATCAGGAGAATAATATATAAAGCACTGGAAATGCAATTATGGTGCTTTCATAGATTAAAGTGGGATTCAGACAGAGGTTTATCCATTAATACAAGAAAAAAGGAAGGGAAGAAGTGGGTCAGATTGACAAAAGAGGCATGTTCCTCCATGCTGCCGTACTCCCTGTATGCCCCCCTCCCCTCCCGCTGCCTCTCCTCTCAGTGATCCAGCATTGTTAGAGCTATTAAAGTTTTAACCAAGCACAGAAGCACCTACTTCAATCAGGCCAGCTTGATTGGGTAGAGCACTGCCATTCTCGGTGCGTGTGTATGTGCGGAAAAGCTAGCCGCTAAGTGTTTTGGTTTGAATGATTCAGCAGCCTGCGAGGGACCACACTTCTTCACTGCAGATGCTTTTAACAGGAGAACACGGAACATCACAGCTAAATTACTCTCAGCCCAAAACAGACAGACAGTTATTTTACACTACAGGTGTACAAGCAGCATCTGCGAGAGGCTGTAAATGAACACCTGAATTAATCGGTTTACCCAAACCTGGAATCAGGGCTTTAGTCATCCATGCTAAATCTTTATCCTTCTTCCAGATTAATCCATTTCCCAAAGACACGCACTTCCTCTCATTCGCCGCTTCAGTCGGTGGGGGCCAGCTTTCTTCACTATCTTCAGCAAATCTATATTGCTGCGATATTAAAAAAGTAATAAAGCACTAACCTGTGGGGTTACTTTCATTACCAGGCAATAGTGTAGAGGGGCCTTAAATGTGACAAAGGGTGAGATATATCAAAACAGTCCGCTGTTTTCCATAGAAGAATTAAAAGAAAGTGGCAGGTCTGTTATTAAGGTTCACGCACACGCTGCCCAAATGAACATAAAAACAGAAACACACCTGTCGTGTGTGCTATCGACTCTACAGTGGTTCAAAATGAAACACTGGTATTCTGTGGGATTAGAATGGTTGGTAACGTTGGTATTTTAGTGGGTATTTTAGTGTTCGGTGCAGTTTTGATATATTGAGAACAGAGATTTCACTTTGAAAAGAGCGAAACTCTTAAATACTACACGTACAGACACTTCTGACTGCTGAGCTTTAAATCCTTGGATATGTGGAAATGGCCCTTTTCTGGAGTGGATCAGATGCAGACAGAACCTTTTAATTCTAAAAGCTCTCATTCTGTTTAGAATTATAAAGCTCCATCTGCAAATAAACCCGTACTGCCCTGAAAGCTTCACCACACTGTTCTATACAAAAACCCAGCTGCCATAAAAGCTTAGAAAACATGAAATGTAGGTAAATATAAAGGGAGGTGTTTGTCTAATACAGTGGAGTACAGTATATTACATTCAATTTACTTCGAAAATTTTGCACAGGTTTTATGTCTGTCAGTGTGTTATCAACATTTTCAAACCTCTACACAAGAAATCCCAATATTTCTATCAAAATTTGCATTTTAATTAAAAAAAAATCCAGAAATAAGTCAAATTATCAAGAAATAAGCAGCTGAACATTTAATGTTATTTGTCCCTAATGTACTATATCAGTATGAGAATACAGTACGTAGATACTGTAAATGTACTGTACTATATGCTATTGTGCCACATAATTTTGAGAGAAAAAAGCAGCAATGAGAGAAGTAAGAGGCTCCAACATGTTCATTTCTTAATATGTATTTATTGTAGTGCTTTAACATTATAACCACTTTCTCACTGGAGCTGTGTGTGTGTGTGTGTGTGTGTGTGTGTGTGTGTATCTGTGTGTGTGTGTGTGTGTGTATCTGTGTGTGTGTGTGTATGTGTGTGTGTGTGTGTGTGTTTGTGTGTGTGTGTGTGTGTATCTGTGTGTGTGTGTGTGTGTGTGTGTCTGTGTATGTGTGTGTGTGTGTGTGTGTGTGTGTGTGTGTGTGTATCTGTGTGTGTGTGTGTGTGTGTATCTGTGTGTGTGTGTGTATGTGTGTGTGTGTGTGTGTGTTTGTGTGTGTGTGTGTGTGTGTATCTGTGTGTGTGTGTGTGTGTGTATCTGTGTGTGTGTGTGTATCTGTGTGTGTGTGTGTGTTTGTGTGTGTGTGTGTGTGTATCTGTGTGTGTGTGTGTGTGTGTGTGTCTGTGTGTGTGTGTGTGTGTGTGTGTGTGTGTATCTGTGTGTGTGTGTGTGTGTGTGTATCTGTGTGTGTGTGTGTATGTGTGTGTGTGTGTGTGTGTTTGTGTGTGTGTGTGTGTGTATCTGTGTGTGTGTGTGTGTGTGTGTGTGTCTGTGTGTGTGTGTGTGTGTGTGTGTGTGTGTGTGTGTGTGTGTGTGTTTCTGCTACACTGTTCTGCCTGCAGTTTAGCTAGTTAATTTACCTTGCGACTCTGGTAATTAGCTAGTGATAACTAAACTGATAACCTCCACACAAAACCCAGTTAGCAAATTTGTCTGGCCCACTTGCAGGTCACATCCTTGGCTTCATTCTGGCCCAGTATTCAGCTGGATCTTCCAGAACTAATGAGTAGAACTAATGGATGTGGCCCAAATATGGCCCAAAACTACATTGTTGGTCCTCAACATTCGAACTACAATTGGCCCACAGATATACCCACATGGCAAAACCGCATGAAGCTGTTTAGGCCCACATGCCGAACATCTGGTAGTCAACCGACACAAACATAGGATTCGGCCCAAAACCGTCTGCTCTCTGGGATATAAGCCGGTCAATGAACTGTATTCTTTGAACTCAGCATATTGTTAGTTAATTAGTGTTTTGTAGAGATAATAATAAAGCTAACCAGCTACAAAGCTGGCTTTAGATAGCATTAGCAATGGCTATCGCTAACTAAAGATTATATTTCAACTTTGTTGGCCAATTGCCAATTTAACTATATTCTCAACTCACCATTTACCACCAGTTTCTTACTAAATCATTTTTTTCTAATTCTAGAGTCTAATTTTACTTTAGTGACTTGTGAGCCATTATCACAGCTACGCTTCTAAGTCCCATAAACAGCATGGGTGAAAGACTGTGGGGGGAAAACTAAATTCATGGGCTGTGATTGGACTATAGATAGTCAGCTTAGTGTGGTATTTTCAAGAAGACATGTTTACCTTTTTAAAAAATTCAGGCTCTACAAAGATTGTTTTAAATAATAATCAATAACAATAATCAGCACTAAATGACTTACTGTATATGCATAATTCAAGTCTGACGAAGATGTCAGATAAAACCATATATTTCCAAGCCTGTGATTTACTAAATTTAGTGATTGGACTGCAGCTCCATGGTAACTATGAAAGACACACAAATTGCTGTAACTGAACAACAGCAGCAGCACATTTGTTAATATTTTGCACGTTTATGTGCTGATATCTGCCCAAAAGCAGCAAAATCATTTTTTTTATTTACATTTAAGAGCCTTTTAAACGCAAATGTTCCACAAGAGAGCAAATGCGGATACACACGCTGTGTGAAATGATTCTGAAGCCGCTATTAAAATGGAAATTTTCCACACTCGCTGAAACACTTCAATGTTAGTATGTTATGCAAATGTTGACCCATCCAAGCAACAAGACAATGGCATTGTAATCGATGCATAAAAGCCCTGCTGCAGTGTTCTCCAACTGCTCTTTGCATGTTGGCTTATGGAGGAGTGATGAACCTGCTGAACTCACTCCTACATCTCCATCTCCATCAGCTTTCTCACTCTCTCCGTTCTCCAGTTCTCACTCCCTCCCTCCCTCTCTCTCCCTCCCTCCCTCCCTCCCTCCATGTCCCTATGCTCTCCTTCCTCCCCCACCATCTCTTCTTTCAACCCTCTCCCTCTTCTTTTCCTTCCCCATTTCTCTACTCCGCTCAACCCTATCATCTCTCTACCGCTTTTTTCCCTCTCTCACCCCCCCTCCCACCCCAAGTCTCTCAGCAGGGTGTGCTGTTCAGGGTGAGCTGAAGGACGATCACATGCCGCCATCTTTGCCGCTGCTCATGAGAGAGAGCGCTGCATGTTCTACCCCGATGCTTTATACGTCGAGCCAGGTTTTTCTGTGGTTGCTGTCATGTTCACAAGGTGAGACAAAAGGTAAAAAAACTGACCCAAGATTGTTCAAGACAAAATGCAGCACGCATCTCCACCGTAACAGCCTCTTCGGCACAGCGACGGAAACAGAGCGCAGTGTTCATGCTTCACAGAGTAGTCTCCAAAAAAACCACAGAGAGGGTTTTAACACGCGACTCCACTGCTCTAATGGACAGGGCTCACATATTATTACAGGAGCATGGAAACCACTGTAATAAGTGCCTTTATTTGACAGCAGATTGAAGAAAAA